TTATTATTCTCTTGGCGCTCTACCTTCGCATACATATTTGGCAATGTCGACCATCCAGAAAACATTTGACAGAGAAATCAGAATAATAAAAAAAAAATGAATGACAATTATTAATAATTTATAATTAAAATTAATTAATAAATAAAAAAACAACTTCACCTACACATAATATAGGAACATAAATATCATATTGGAAATATTTTGTAATTATGGTACCATTTCCAACGTTTTGCGGCTAGTAAACTGGAATTGATAAAAATCTCCTAAAAAGAACGTTTGGCTTACCCTGTCAAATTGCTGCGGGTTCTACACATCTTAAAATTTGTTCCAATTTTACCAAAAACGTTGTGTTTCCCTGCTTTTTGCGTGGTAGTTATCATGCAAAGTCAATGCACAATGCTTCCGAAATTCTCTTCAACATTTTTCTGGCTAGTATTTGTGAATTGAAAAATCCTAAGAGATACTTCTCCCTATAATACAAAATTCCTCGTTGCAGAGGACTGGCTTGTGAAGTTGGACTATAACAGCATTGCCCTTTCCTCCATTCAAACTTTCTTCTTTTTTAATCAAGGTCTGTCGCTATCCGGGTGGCGCCATGATATTGGGTAGGAACCGTGGGTACTAAGATGCCATTACCAGAAGACTTTACTTCCTTTATGGTTTTCGGTGTTGAAAAGTCCTGAATTGTCGCTTATCCTTATTCGGGTCTGTTAGAATCCATGATCGCTTACCCCGTGCCTTAGATACTTAAATTGATTCTAAAAAATGGTATTTGTGCTTGATCCTCAGGTTTGCAGTTTTTCAGAGAATTTCCTCTTGCCTCGGCCAATGACTACGATGTCATCCAGGTTTCGTTTCAGGTCTTATTGGTCGCCAGTGCCGCAAATTTTATTTATTCCTAGGTTACCAGACCCTACACTGCAGCACTCCGTAATTGTTGTGTCATTTTTTCTGCACACCCATAAAAATATCCTCTGTGTATTGCTGCACGTGCGTGCGGGATGACCGGTTTCTGCGCATCGAGTGCAGATCTTTGGTCTGAGTTAATGAGGTGCTGGCTGATCTGCATTTGGTTTGTGTATAATTATACCCTTGCAGGGTATTATAATTTCAGTCAGAAGTTTGCAACGCAGTGAAGGAGGCACCTCCGACCATATAAAGTATATATATTCTTGATCAGGATGAACAGCCGAGTCGATCTAGCCATGTCCGTCTGTCCTTCTGTCCGTCTGTCCGTTTCTACACAAACTAGTCTCTCAGTTTTGAAGCTATCTGAATGAAACTTTGCACTTAGCCTTCTATATACTCTCACTCGTATATATGTCGGAACGGGCCGGATAGGACGACTATATCATATAGCTGCCATAGGAATGATCGAATAATTTTTCCAAAAAAAATTATAACAATTTCAGTTTTCAACAGAATTTGATCAAATTTGAGATATAGCCATTTTACTATACTTTACAATTTTGTATAAAATTTTATGAAAATCGGACAACTATATCATATAGCTCCCATAGGAACGATCGAGAAATTAAGACAATTAAAAATTATAACATTTTCAGTTTTCAACAGATTTTCATCAAATTTGAGGTATAGCCATTTAAATTTTGTGTAAAATTTTATGAAAATCGGACGACTATATCATATAAGGGCCATACAAACGATCGTTAGATGTGGAGAAAAATGCACATCTGCAAATATACTATGTAAAGGTGAATGAAATGAATGCAGGTATTACTTCATTGTTTTTTAACACAAATAAATATAATTTATATTGTTGGGATTCCAAGTCATAGAAGTTCTATCTGCAAGGGTATATAAACTTAAGCGTGCCGAAGTTAGCTTCCTTTCTTGTTTTATTTTAATTTTGTAGTTAATGTATATGCGATTGAATTTCTCTTCGTTGAAGAATCTGGTAAATCGAATTAGCTTGTATATAGTGTACTCCCTAATAAGTTAATTTTCCTTCCTCTCAATTTTTATTTTCTTTTGACCTTCCATTTAATAGCTCTGATTTTCTCGTTTTGTTATCACGATCTCCGGTTTTGTGATTGGTGTTTTATTAAAATTTCGCTAACAGTTCATTGAATTTTTGTTAGACGGTTGCGGCATGACTCGTTTTTTAGCAAACTTTCACTATATAAATAATTCACTTCTTTTTGACACGTCTAACCGAAGCACATGTGCACATTCTGTTAGTTCATTTTTCATTGCCTGATATACCCAGCACTACATTATTCTATCAGTTTTGTATTTTCTCCATCCGTGCTAAGAATTTTTGTTAACATCCAGAGATGGCAAGGAACAATTGAAAAATGAAAGGAAAGAAAGTACCAAAACTAAAAGTTAAAAAAAAATATATGGCCAAAAAATATTTGATTTATATGAATTGCATTTTCTACTTAATGAGTAAATATGGCTCAACCATTGATCCTCTACCACTGTGCACACTCTAGGGTGCATTTATTTTTTGTGAAGCAAAAATCACTTGAGAATCTCATATTTCTTACCATCGAATTTGGTTAAATATGTTGCCAACAAAATCGTACACGCTCTTCAGTTTTTCTGTTGGTAAACAGCCAAATATATGGTAAATATTTAATTTTGGTTGAGCAGAAGACACTTCAACCAAATATGTTACTGTTTTGGATAAGCCACAGCTGTTTGATCAGCTGATACCGACTAGTGGATGGAGGTGAAACTCCATGGGAATCGGAGTTTTACATCTGCGAAAATCCAAACTGGTTCTCACGGATGGACTTTGTTGGAGAACAGTATAATATGAACAAAATGTATTCTCATTCATTTCTTGCTGTTTTGGTAAACCTACTATATATTAAGGTATTCCCAACACACATAAATGATCAAATGAAAAATACCGTCAACTTGGAATAACTATTCTAAAAAATACACTTTCGGTTTTGAATAAAAATATTTCAACAGCTCTCATGTTCTTCCTTTGGATAATATTTAAAAAAATAAACGTTTAGTTGATATTTTTTTTTTTTTAATTTTGGCCTATGGATGAAACCACTGTGCATTGTATAATGTATAATGTTTTTTGTATGTATAAGTTAACAATCTAGTTTCTAAAATCGTTGACAAAGAAGATGCAAGCTCAGTACATATGGCGCAACCAAGTGAAGAAACCAGAAGTTCAATTTACTACCAACTCAGAAAACTTCCGGATTAGTGGTCCCACGATCGCTACCCAAAAGAAAGTGAAAATCAATGCATTGACCAATGGTAATTAGAAGCGGCCAATAGTGACAAAACGTCATAAGCAGCTAATGAGAACAGAGACAGCGATGGACCAACAAGCAGCCTATAAACGATTGTTAAGCTTATGCAAATTCAGTTCTTAATCCAACTCAAATCAATAAAAATTATTTTTTAATGAAAAATAACTTATAATCTTTAACTTATATAAATAAAAACTTATTTGCCGAGCAAGATATGTATCTTCCATCAGGATCAACAAAATACGAGCGTTAAATATGACGCTTCCTTTACACGAAATATGTTGTCTTGGCATATATCGATTGTTGAAATGTCGATAAAAACAAATTCAAAGTTAAGTTTATAATATATTTCGATAAAGTCTACCTAAGTGAAACAGCTTTTGGCCGATGTCGGCTTTTCGGTTTTAACATATCGCATCTACCATCCGATCACAACTGAACGAATTGCTCGGTTTATCATAAATATAAACAAAATGGTGAAACTGGATTCTACATGCCTAAATAAATAGTATATAAACTATTTTTTCCTGTTTCGCCTCACATATTAAACCCGATTTTTTATTTTTGCAAGGATTTACCATAATAAAAATTGTATGGCAATTATTCAGTGGAACTCTAATATTAAAAAATTAAACAACAAATTTTAGATTTTGGGGTACCCACAACTTTAACGCGTGGTATTGCAATCATGGAAATAGATAAATAAATTTATTTTCAAGAAATGGATGCGCCATATAAAATACAAATTTATTTGATTGATGACTGTCACACTTTATTAATAATAGTAATTAATAATAGAGCATATTAGAAAATCTCTGCACTTATTCATTTCAGTTTTTTTATAAGCCCAATCATCTTTATCTTGACGGGAATCCCGTCTATAACAAAACGTTTCAAACCAATTATTTTTCCATATATCGATACATTTGTCGTTAAAAAATATTACTCATACAAGTCACTGGTCCGTATGCTTTCCTCTATCCGCTGAACGGATAGTTGATAGGGTTTTGCAGTTCCAAAATTTCTCATTTTAGTATCCATTATTTTACCGATGGTTCGATCGATAGTTTTAACGATAGTTCTTTGATCCAACTGTGAATTCTTCTTATTCTTGCTGAAAATTAGACCATTCTCTATGAAAATTTTAAAGATTGCATGGAACGAGTGAACATTGAAGGCGCCAAAGTTTAAAATATGCCAAAATATTCTGTCCCCAAATTGCCTCGAATTGCTGCTAATTTATATCACTCCTATATTTTATGTGTTTTTTGTTTATTTTGAATAGATTTTGTGGGCCTCTACCACAATGTATATTCTTCGGGGCATATTCTTTTTTTTAAGAAAAATCGTAAGAGAATTTTTTATGCATCGTTATCTAATATATTTTAATTTATTGCCAACATAATCTGTCGCAATCTGCATGTTTTCTTTTGTTGAACAGCCCAAAATAGTTGTTTACTTTTTCCGCAGAAGCTATTTTTACCAGCTTTGTTTATGCTTTGAATGAGCCCCTGCTGTTCATTTAGCTGGTATCGGATGGAGAATCGAGATCTAACTCTTTGGGAATCGAAGTTTCACATCTGCAAAAAATGCCAACTGTTTCACACGGATGAACTGTGAAAATTTTTTAACGGTCAAAATGATTTCGTCATATTTAATACTTTCTTCAATTTCTGAGGTCAGCTTTTTGTTTCTTATCCAACGTTTCAAAAGTGTTGAATAGTTGTTGCCGCTTCTTTACGTATTCAGGTTATGCATTACTAATTCTATAATAGACAGTGTGTAACCTTCATATAATAAAAAAAAATTATAACCACGCACGCTGCCTTTACTAAATGTAAGTGTTTCTTTATTTATTAAGAAGCTGATTTTTTCAATATTAAAATTTATATATTCGTGCATGTTCTTAATTCAAGCAATATTTAGTGTTAAGTACCTGTGTCTGTATATGAATATTATACTAACGTATGTATAATATTAAGCGGCATTTTACATTCCTATTTCATTAATACCTTTAAGAGAAAAGCCGTGAACTTTTTTTTCTTTCATTTACGTATAAATGTGAATTAAACAAATAATATGAGGAAATGTTCTTTATGTATTTGGTTCATACATTAACAAATGCTGTAGTCTTATTAATATACATATGTATGTACATATGTACATTAAAATTCTATTAAATGTACATATATATTTAAATACTATACGTTTCAATATTACCGCTCAGTTTGTGCAATATAAATATGATTATACACATATTTACTTGTAAAATAAAAGTATATAAAAGCAAAAATGAACCTTTAAAAAAAATTGTTTTTTCGATTAAATTATTAAGATAATTGATTAAAGGCCTACAATTTCGCAGAAGCTATTTTTAGTTAAATTATGTTCATTTATATATTTTATAAATTAGTGCAAAACTCTACGGTGCTTAGCCGGCTTTCAATGTCGATTAGCTCCCATCAGTGGTATACGTCGACGATCCATCGTATATTCCCAAGAGCGAAGCAACCTGACGAAAATTTGGCAACGGTCGTCTATTGGCTATGATGTTCAATTAAAAATTGGGTACGTTCAATTACAACATTTATTTCTAAATTTTTAAATACTGCAGCACATGTTTATCGTGCATAAGTCTTAATACTCTTACAGATACATACATGTAGCTAAATCAGGGCTTTGGCTGATATTGGAAAAATCGGTCCTGTTGCCATTCCTGGTCGAAATAATTATTGGGTCCCAAAACTTATTTAACAAAATCATAAATTACTCTTAAATAATTAGTCAGTCACCCTTGCAGGGTGTTCTAATTTTAGTCTTAAATTTGTGAAGGAGACATTGTCGAAATTATAAATTTTATATATTTTTGATCAGCATTATCTTCCGAGTCGATATAGCCATGTCCTGTTCGATTATTTGCAAACTAGTTTCTCACTCTTTAAGCTATCTGAATGACTTGCTCTTTATGCTCTCACTCGTACTTATATGTATAAGTCGGAATCAACCCTGCAGTACCTGTCATCTACAAAAAATCAACGTTTCATCTACAGTTAAAGGTGTGCTGTTGATTTTTCATCGATGACAAGCCATACAAACTGTTGATTTATTTAACATGGGCATGTCCTAGGCTGTCATCAATAACAATTCATCAACAATAAATCGATGATTCATCAACAATTCATCAACAAATTCATCATCAATTCATCGATGTTTTGTTGATGAATTGTTGATGAATTTGTTGATGAATTGTTGATGACTCGTACATATATGTATAAGTCGGAATCAACCCTGCAGTGCCTGTCATCTACAAAAAAACAACGTTTCATCTACAGTTAAAGGGGTGCTGTTGATTTTTCATCGATGACAGGCCATACAAACTGTTGATTTATTTAACATGGGCATGTCCTAGGCTGTCATCAATAACAATTCATCAACAATAAATCGATGATTCATCAACAATTCATCAACAAATTCATTAACAATTCATCATCAATTCATCGATGTTTTGTTGATGACACATCGATGAAACATCGAGCGTCGTAGTAGAAGTCGCAGTCGGCAGAGGGTCGATTCGGCAGAAGTCGCAGTCGGCAGAGCGTCGCCTCGGTAGAAGTCGCAGTCGGCGCGTTGATGACAGTGGCCTATTGATGACGCTCGGTACTGCAGGGAAAGAACTGCAACAAGCCACCACAACTACAAGTGCACCAGCGAAACACTGAGTGTCTGACATACCCGGGTGTTTATAGTACCCAATTGCGGTAATAAAAAACACCCGAGTGTATTTCGCACCCGCATGTTTTTTGTTACTGCTTAAGCACAATGATTCGAATGACCCGACACACAAGCGAAGATCGTCCGCATACATATATTTATCATGGGTCCAAGCAAGACGTTCTAAGAAAAAAAGGGTGAAAGAGAACACCAAAAAAAGTCGTGTGTGTGTTTTTGCTGTTCGAGGCACCCAAATTACGCACATTGCATATATGAAATTAAAGGCGGTTTTATTGTTTTTTTTTTTTTAATTTTTATAATAATAAATGCATAAATATTAAATATTTTAAAACATGTTAAAAGGGAACTTCATATTAATACTTAATACACTTATTTCTATATATTTCTTGTGTTTAGTGGCTATGTTTTTTACTATTTTAAAATGGAAAATTCTACATTTATAACGTTAAACATGAGAAGTAAACATTAAAAAGAAATAAAATAAGAATAACTTTAATAAAATAAAGGAATGACCGGTTTGTTAAAATTTTTGTAACAAGAATGCAAAAAAAAGGGGAATACAGATTTCGGGCATAATCTATTTCTTTTTTCTGTAATTATGTTTCCTGCTAAGGAAAATACTTCTCAACTGCTGCGCTACTAGCTTGTATTGGTATTGTATTGTAACTTTGACAAAAGAGAATAAAATTTTTCTCTGCAGTATCTTTCAATTTTATCAAATATAGTTTCAATATAGTGTGAATTAGAACCAGCTACTAGATTTGAGAAGAATGTTGTTTTAGGCACTTTGTTTATATATTGGTAGGATTGGGTTTGGACTTTATGGATTTCATGGGAACTGGTATCAAAGTTTCCCATTTCCGACATGCAAAACACTTTAATTTCAACAAGAAAGGAAGCTAACTTCGGCACGCCGAAGTTTATATACCCTTGCAGATAGAACTTCTATGACTAGGAATCCATACAATTATATATATTTGTGTTAAAAAACAATGAAGTAATACCTGCTTTCATTTCATTCACCTATACATATTATATTTGCAGTTTTACATTCGCAGATTTGCATTTTTCCCCTACATCTAACGATCGTTTGTATGGCACCTATATGATATAGTCGTCCGATTTTCATGAAATTTGACACAAAATTTAAGACTAATATAAAATGGCTATACCTCAAATTTGATTAAAATCAGCTGAATACAGAAAAAGTTATAAATTTAATTGTATTAATTTCTCGATCGTTCCTATGGGAGCTATATGATATAGTAGTCCGATTTTCATAAAATTTAATGCAAAATTGTAGAGTATAGGAAAATGGCTATATCTCAAATTTGATCCAATTCTATTGAAAACTGAAAAAGTTAAAATTTTTTTTTTTTTAAATTTTCCGATCATTCCTATGGCAGCTATATGATATAGTCGTCCGATCCGGCCCGTTCCGACATATATACGAGTCAGAGTATATAGAAGGCTAACTACAAAGTTTCGTTCAGATAGCTTCAAAACTGAGAGACTAGTTTGCGTAGAAACGGACAGAAGGACAGGCGGACAGACGGACATGGCTAGATCGACTCGGCTGTTGATCCTGATCAAGAATATATGTATATACTTTATATAGTCGGAGGTGCCTCCTTCACTGCGTTGCAAACTTCTGACTGAAATTATAATACCCTGCAAGGGTATAAAAAAAAGAAAAGGAAACAAACAAACAGGAAAAAAATCCAATTTTACAGAAGCTTTTTTTATTTAATCTTAGGAATGGGAAATTAATGAAATATTTTTCAAGGTTTCGTGGTTTTGCTACAATAACGAATGAAAACTTAATTTTTGTCATTAAAGGCAACATTTCATACATATGTTTTCATACTCTTTCGAATACTAGTATACAAAGAGCGAATAATATATAATAATTAAGTAAAGCCAAAGCTCAATACTTACTCTTTTTTGAGTAAGTCTTTAATAAATTGTTTTACAATTGATGCACTTGAAACCTTTGTTTGGTTGATTGGTTTGATTACGTCATGAAGTTTAAAGTTTTTTTCGTTAACACCTAAAAAATCCCTTTTCACATTCTGGTCATTCCACATATCGACAGTCGCGGTCACAACTCCACTATTCACGGCTCCCATTGTCTCGGTCGAAATAAGAGTCATATTATCATCAGCATCCGACTTAAGGGGTTACATGGATTTCACGGTTTCAAAAAATCATCTTTAGAATATTGTCAAAAATATTTAAGTGGATCCAACTAATAGTTTCGCTCGAAGCAGAGCTCAGTAGGTATAACTTTAAAAGCGATTTTCTCAAAACTATGTTTTCGAATTCGGTTGTCAAGATTTCTCGCAAACTACTCAACCTATCTTAATAAAATTTTACACAGGTCTTCGAGATATCATTAACAAGGTTTTAAAAGGATTTTTTTGTAATCGTAACTATTCAAAAAAAATGTCGAGAAATTTGAATCGAAATTTGGATTTTTTTATAAAAACGTCTGCCAAAAATCCAATTTCCATTTTTTATTTTAAAAAATCCTGAAAGAAATTCTGCTGACAACGCAGAAGGACCTTTCTCCGAGGGACTGCCAAAAATGGCGTCGTAATGACCGCCATTTTAATTTTTTTTGAAAGTTTCACAAAATGTTTATTAAGTATTTATCTTTTATCTGTCGATCTAGCCATGACCGTCTGTCCGTCTGTCCGTTTCTACGCAAACTAGTCTCTCAGTTTTGAAGCTATCTGAATGAAACTTTGTAGTTAATCTTTTATAAACTCCCACTCATATATATGTCGGAACGGGCCGGATCGGACGACTATATCATATAGCTGCCATAGGAATGATCGGAAAATTTTTACAAAAAAAATTATAACAATTTCAGTTTTCAACTGAATTTGATCAAATTTGAGATATAGCCATTTTATTATACTCTACAATTTTATGAAAGTCGGACTACTATATTATATAGCTCCCATAGGAACGATCGAGAAATTAATACAATTAAAAATTATAACTTTTTCTGTTTTGAACAGATTTTCATCAAATTTGAGGTATAGCCATTTTATATTAGTCTCAAATTTTTGTGTCAATTGTGAAAATCGGACGACGATATCATATATGTACGTAGGTGCCATACAAACGATCGTTTGATGTAGAAGAAAAATGCAAATCTGTGAATGTAAAACTGCAAATATAATATGTATAAGTGAATGAAATAAAAGCAGGTATTACTTCATTGTTGTTCGGAGCAGACCGCTAGCGCCTAATCATGCGCTCATGGGTGTTTGGCTGCATCTGCTGCGCTCTTAGCTTTTCTCTTTCGTTATCTATTTCTCTATCTCTTCTTCTTCTGTCGTCTATCTTTATGCTAAGCTACATTGTAAGCGTTTTTATATATGTTGAAGTCAAGAATTCGATCGTTAGTTGCAGCTCCAACCAGAGAACAAACGAAAACGAAATACACAGCATATAATAACCTATTCGTGCGTTATAATTATTGCTCAAGGGTGGCAAATTGGTTGTCTTCCCCATATACATTCTGGAGACCCCGACGTGATTCTTTGGCTCGGAGCCTGCAACCCGGCGTTCGCTGTTTAATATTGTTTAAATAAATCGCTTTGCTCCACTGTCGCTTACTGGCATTCGGACATAAGCACACAAGCAAACTCACACACATACCTTGTACATAACAAGCTGAGTGCATATAGCCGGCCGCTGATTTTCGGTTCCATCGCGCTGTTAAACAAAAGCTGTGCTGTGCCAAACATTATATAATAAGGTGGCTCGCGTCGTAAATAGCGCCTATTGAACATATGTATACATATGCATATATAGCATAGGCG